GAAAAAAAAGTAGTTAATTGAACACATTAACCTGCTGTTTATTGATATTCATATTGAATGGATAGAGACGGTAGACTTTTTACTATGTAGTACTGTAAATAGTATGCTCTTCAATAGCTTTCCGCAAAAATTAAATAGCAAAAATAGACAAGGTAACAAAAAAAATTCAAGCCGCTGTTTAGGCCAGTTGGTTACTGTAATTAATAAATTATATAAAATAACATTTAAAACAACACGTACAGTATTTGACAACCAAAGTGATTTGTCTCTTTGTGTCTGCATTATCATACAGGAGTTTTCTCTTCTTTCTGCATGGATGTTTGGACACAATAACATATCTATGAATGTTTACGTTTCACTCTTGGGAAGTACTTCAGTTGTTGAGCTTTAATGATAATGATCATTCATTTTCACTAAATAATATATGTTTCCTAATACAAAAATGGGTGCTCAGAAATGCTTTTTTCATAATGTCTTTTGATACTGTGTACTGTATCATGCCAAATGGACTCCAATGCTGTTACTTGGTTTCTTGAAAGGTAATGACATCTTAATAAATACTGGGTACAATGGGACTAAACTCTTTATGATCAGAGGTAATAAACATGATTTATTACAGATATGCTGAGAAAATACTTGATTGTTTGTCAGTTTTGTTGAATGTGATTCATATGTGGAATATAACTATTCGAACATCTCAGCTTCCAGGTGTCCATTTTCTGAAAGTGAAATAAAAAGTCTGTATAAAACACTTAGTTAAGAGGTTCTGAAATGTCAGAGACGATTATATGAACAGACAACTGATAGCCTACACCATTTGCTGAAGTAGCTATTTTGAACAAGTGTGTACTTAAATCCACTCAAAAAATATCTGTCAGATATCAAAAATATTTGCATTTGAACATTTTGCAAACTACATCTGCACTGTATCCGTAGTGTCTGAAGTACGGTGTTAAAGACTCTTGTATTTATTCTTACATCAGCTTTAATCAAAAACGCATTTTGCCGGTTTACCCAAAGTAGCCACATTTATTTTCAGTATATAAAAAAGAGAAAAGGTCTCACTTTTAAGGAAGGCTTTTAGCACCGCTGTACCCTATTTGAACCTAAATATAGCCTACTTCCAGCACACCAGTATGAAGCCACAGAAGTTGATAACATACTCCTTTCCTCTATCATGAAAACAGCTGAAGAAGAAAGAGTGCCCCGGCAGACTGGAAGAGGAATCTTTAGTAAGTGCCTTTTCTGTGACACTCAGGGGGGAAGATGAATGTGAGAAGTGACGTATCTGAGCTGCTATTAAAGGTCTGATTCAGAGGTTGGGTGAGAAAACAGCAGCTATTGAGATCAATTCAGTTCTGCCACTCTGGAGCTTTTGAGCGAGAGATTTTACGTCGTTAAAATGGCAAACAAGTCACGTACGCTCCGCTTCGGCTTTCAAAAGCTCACAAATTCACATTTGGCACCAAAGCAATATCAGTAACAATTGGAATAGTTGGAAATTCCACAATCTACGCCACTGGATATAACGTAGCCGTGAGTGAAAGGCTGACAGGCTCTATAGTCATCGCATGCTATTTTACATTCAGTCTCAAATGGAGCTCTGCTGAGTCCAAAAGCTGTACTGTGGTAGACATACCAATTTGATTACAGGCGGCCTGCATCAATTATTAATGTAAGCACTTTCTTCAAAGTGCATCTTTAATATCGAGCGCAATACTCCTAGACTCACCTGACCAACATCAGCTCAGACTCGGCGGCTCACTTTCTCAGGCATGTTGCCAGACGTGCCCCTGATGATGTTGTAATAGGAGGTTTCTTGCATGCAATCGGCAGAATTGGAGAACAGCAGTCACACGGGATCAATATTTAAACATAAATCGTAGCACAGCTTTGATGCCTCAATACTGTTGATTAATCAGAGTTAAGTGCCCTGTTTTCTGGCCGCTGAGGAAATACTGCTGTAAAATGTCTTGTGTGGATATTGCTGTGCTTCAGTTTCTAAGCGGTGATGTGCTCGATTCTCATGTCCGACCCAATATGCAGTGACATTTCCACTTGTTCTAGGTTGTAATTTGTTCTACATTCTTGTATCATGTTCTGTTCCGTTGAGTTGAATGCTGCTGCATTACATTGCGTTTCATAACGCTTTGTCCCATTGTTCTGCGCTCGACTTTATTTGATTACGCTCTATTGAATTACCTCTTACTCTGCTGTGTTTCATTCTGTCCTTGTCTTATGAAGTTAAAGAACAGACTGTGGCCTCCAGTGCTATTGACTCACCAACGATCTAGTCACATTATCACGGACATGTTTCAGAGCATATGGCTCTTGGTAAGACATTGTAACCTCTCCAAGTAGCTTATTTAACGGGGTCCTGCTTTTCTTGTTCATCCGCTTTGTGGGATATGCTATAAAGTCGAGTAGAATCAAGTTTAGTGCTGTTTAATTTTTTTGGGCAGTTGCTTATCTGTGCTGGACAGCTGCATCTCTTCGGTCATCAACGTTTTGAAGGATCCTGAGAATAATACTTAGTAAGTAATAAAAGTAATAACACTTTCTGTGCTCTGGCAAGAACTATTAGACGTGTTCAATAAACTAAACTAAGATAAAATTAAATAGAATGAAAAGTAGTTAGTTTGAAACATCAAATGTCTGTCTCTCCCGCATAAAAAGGTCATATTGGCCTGTCCCACATCAGAGGTCTTGATCTTCTTTGACTACATCTAACAACTAAAATCAGAGAATTATCATAGGTGCACTACTTTAGTTAACATTATCTGAGAAATACTACTAAATCGCATTTATTAATCCTAGTTAATGTTAATTTGAACATTTACTAATACATTTGATACATTGTTAAAAATCAAAAGTTGTATCTGTTACTATTATTTAATGGACCTGAGTTGAGTAATGTTAACAAAGACTAAATAAAATAATAAAGAAGAATAAATCAATATTATATAAAATATAAATGAATTAAATATATAAACACATAAAAATGCTGAAGCAAATATATTGCTCAACATATTGCTAATGCATTAACTAATGGAACCATATTGTGAAGTTTTACCCCCAATAAAAAAAAGAGAAAAGAAGTATTTTTAATTGCCAGATTGCAATTATAGCTGTCCTTTTGCCTGCATTTCTGTGAAAAGAAAAAGGAAAAATTTGAATTTCTTAATATGTATATACATAAGAACACCTGATATTAATCTAATCTAACCCAATTAGAATATCTTTTTAATTTGATATTTATTTATTATAATTTAAATTTTGGTTCTGTTAAAAGTATTTTATTTTGCTGTTTATTTTATATATATATATACAGTGGGTACGGAAAGTATTCAGACCCCCTTAAATTTTTCACTCTTTGTTATATTGCAGCCATTTGCTAAAATCATTTAAGTTAATTTTTTTTCCTCATTAATGTACACA